CAAACGGTAATTATTTCTTTATTTGAAAACCCAAAACACTGAAAAGCTCTGAAAAGCTTTTTAATATTAATTAACTTGTAATATTTCCATGCCTAACACCTTCGTCAGGCCTGACATTTTGATCTTGGTAAAATTCTATATTAATTTCAGATTTAATTCTCCGGAGCACATTAAAATTCTGACAAAGGTAGTAGGCAACGAAATATTGCAAGTTCGTTGAGTTCGAGAATTTTTTGGTGTCTTTTGGGTTTTTTTAAATAAACATTGGAAGCTTCACATTGTTACCGAACATTCTACTGAAGTCCTGTTTTAAAAAAGTCCTGTTGACCTGCGCATGCTAAAATTTACCTACTTCAGCGATCCATTCATAATGGACGACAACTTTCCCCATGTGATGGTTGTGGGTAACCAGCCATCACTGGAGTCCAGCTGGTACGAAGGATCTAATGGAGAGAAATGTCTCATGATATCTGTGCCTCGTTTCTCTCGTACTCAGACGGTAGTTCTTTTGGATCTCAACTCTATGGAAGTGACGAGTGAACGTTTTGGAAAAGCTTGATTTTTCGAGTTTTTTTTTTCTCTGAGATATCCGATGTTCATGCTCCATTTTCTGTTCTTCCAAAAATTTGTCCAGTACCTCTTGATCATCAGTTCTTTACGGCTTTACGTTCTACTCCTTCTGCCATGTGACCCATGGGTCAATAGTAGATCATTGTGTAACGTGTACAATGGCTGGTGTTTGCAGTACGGCTCTCCTCATACCACTTGTCCCATATAGCGTGTTAATCTCTTCTCACTTGCCTGATGTTCTCACTTTGAATTATAATGATGATGAATGGACTGCTACCAATTTGTTTGCAGAAAATTGTTGCAGTAAACATTTCAGTTTTAGCTTTATTTTGTAATAGCCGTACAATCTGAACAGATCATATTTAGAAATATCTGGGCAGGCGGAAAAAAATTTGACAGCTTCCCCTTGTTCTGCGAGAAAAATGTTAAACAATAAGTACATTCAATCAATAAGTACAAAAAAGTGGTCAGTTTAATGTTGCTCAAGTGTTGAGGTTTGAGATGCTGACGAGGATGTGAACTTCTCCAGGATGCTCGTCATTTTGGAATGTAGTTCGTTTAAGCCCACAATATAATTGATATCTAACTGATTATCTGCAGGGAACACGTGCGAAAAATCTGAAACAATGGAATGAAGGGGCGGCGTAAAAGGTAGAAAAGCCTTAGGGGGCAATTAGGTGACGAGAGGGGAGGGGGCATTTTGCAGTTTTGATCTACGTGTGAAGCCATCAAGTGGAGATCTGTGAAATCTCGTTAAGCCACGAAATAACACCACCCAAAAGTTTCAGAGGCTGCCTGTCAGCTCTTGAAAAGCAATTTCATACCGTACAAATAGCATTTGGCAATGTGGCTCGGCGGGCCTGCTCCAGCTAAGGGCAGGCTGCGGCTCAGCGAGCTTGCTCCTGCTTAAAGACAGACTGCGATGAGTCAGCGAAAAATAGGCATCGGGCTCAAAACGGAAAGTGTGTGTGTGTGTGTGTGTTGTGTGTGTGTGTGTGTGTGTGTGTGTGTGTGTGTGTGTGTGTGTGTGTGTGTGTGTGTGTGTGTGTGTGTGTGTGTGTGTGTGTGTGTGTGTGTGTGTGTGTGTGTGTGTGTGTGTGTGTGTGTGTGTGTGTGTGTGTGTGTGTGTGTGTGTGTGTGTGTGTGTGTGTGTGTGTGTGTGTGTGTGTGTGTGTGTGTGTGTGTGTGTGTGTGTGTGTGTGTGTGTGTGTGTGTGTGTGTGTGTGTGTGTGTGTGTGTGTGTGTGTGTGTGTGTGTGTGTGTGTGTGTGTGTGTGTGTGTGTGTGTGTGTGTGTGTGTGTGTGTGTGTGTGTGTGTGTGTGTGTGTGTGTGTGTGTGTGTGTGTGTGTGTGTGTGTGTGTGTGTGTGTGTGTGTGTGTGTGTGTGTGTGTGTGTGTGTGTGTGTGTGTGTGTGCTAGTTGACTTGCCCGTAAAGAAGAAAAAGGGCGGGCGGGGGGCGTCGAAAAGTTTCAAATAAGGCCCTACTTGTGCCAGCAAGAGCCTAAAAATAGATGTGGATACTGGGAGAGAGTCCAATGAAAGCAGCGAGAGAGCTAGCAAGACAGCAGGAAAGACATCTGTCAAAGAGGGCAGAGTCACTTGAGCAACCTTGCTTTATCGCCGCTACCTTTCCACTTTCTGGCGTGAAACTTATACATAGTTGTTGATCTACATACCTCTCTGTACTCAGGGCTTGGACAATTATAAGTGATCGTGATCTCTGCCTTCAAAGTATAGTTTACACAGGTTTCACCAGAGACTTGTAAACTGTAACTAGAGAAGCAGCGAAAGTGCAAAATGCCCCTCCCCCTTCCCCTGCCATCGCCGAAATGCGCTGCCTTATGCTTTCCTGGAAATAACTCACCAATCATGACCAGTTGAACAGTTGGTGGTTTCGATACATCATTTTCATAGACGAATAAAAGTGAAGAGGCATAGAAATGGAATGACGTTTGCTTGGCAAACCATTGTCGTACACGATCAAGCTTTGATAATGCTTCTAACATAAGAGATGGATCGGTTCCTCGTCCGGAGAAGAACTCGAGAAGACCTGAAGGCGGATAGGAAGTGTACTAAGCATTTTTTTCTGAGAATCATATTCGCTTACCATCACAACACATTGGTTTCATAGTAAGCTTTTCCCGCATTCTTTATCTTTAACGACGATCTTCCCGTCTTTGCAGTGCATCTGAAAGCTGAACAGTAAGTAACTTTCCAATAATTTGGTCTGTTTAGTTGCCGCAGTTCGCGAAGCGGCAGGTATTGTCAGAAGTGTGGCGACTAATCACTTTAAACGTAAGAGAACTAACTCGTGGGCCAGGGGAAATACAGCCTGGAAAATTCGTAGGAGAGCGCTTGCGGTCTCGGTGATGGTGAATTCAGCGTGGTGCCCCGAAGCAGATCCTCCCCAGACAATAACTCAACTCACAACTCGGCATTTTGGTAAGATATCTTGGAAGCCGAAACTCGCTCTTTCCTCAACCAATACGATTCCTATTTGCGCTGATAGACTGGTTTCGCCCAGGGTAGAGGTATAATATTGCTTCTCCTCTACCCAAGTCTGAGGGCCTATGCAAAACATCGATCCTGAACTCTTGACTTGATTTCTCTCCCACTCCAATATATCTTACTTGTTCGATTTTGAACCTAATTCCATATTCTTTCTCTGCTAAAGCCATAGCCAGATAATAGGCATTTTTGGCTCGTCCACGACCGGAAAGCAAAGTCTTTATCTTATTCGCGGCATCTTGACGTTGACTGTCATAAAAGCGGCTCTCTTTTCGCAAATCGCTTCCACTGTGGCTGAATAACCGGCAATTAGCCAGAAGGGGCGCGGGATCACACACCGACACGACTGTTGCCATGTGGAAGCGTGAGATTCGAACCGAGACGGAAACAGCGCCCAGCTGTTGCGGAATGATCGCTGTGCCTTTGGTGAACTCGTTTCCTGTCCAGTAGTAAGAGACACCTGTCATATATAGCACACCAGCCACTTGAATTATGAGGACGCGGCATGATACTGTAGTATCATGAAAACAAACAACCAATTACCCTGTATCCGAGAATTCTGAATCCCAAAATTGTCTGTGGAGGATATTTCCGTCGCTCCTTCTCTCGTTTTGCTGCATTCGCGACGGGATCATACGTGATTCGACCCATTTTCACATCGAGTATGGCAGGCCGAGAATACGTGGAAGTTACATCCTCCAATATCAGAAAGTCAACATCTGAAATGAAAGAGCATATGAGATGCGAATCAAAGGAATTCAGCAATAGGAGTAAAAATTACTAATAGAGGTAAAGAACGCTACCTTTTTTGTCAATCGGAACTGAAGTGAGTCCATAAAATCGTGGAGTCATCCGGGCAAGACCTTCTGCGTCTTCCATGCTGATGCTCGGCCATCCGTCTATACTGAAAACCTGGCCTGGTTATTACTAATTCCCAAGCTCTATTCATAGTTGTGCTCATCAACCAACTCAGCATCGCCCGCGCTTCCTTCGTTGACATCTCCGGAAGTCGAGTGACGCAACGCCCTTGCCAGCAACTTGTAGACATTGACCTGAAGATGTCACTCTCACTCAGTTGCGTCATTTTCCTGTACATGCTGACGAAGGACATCCGTAACATCGCGCCACTAATACCTCCCATATCTCTCAGACCCCTACTTCAACAAGCGCTGACTACTTCGGCTCGGAATGCAGTATAGGAGCCTATTTTGATCAAGGTGGCGCCTTATCAGGCATATAAATGCATATAAATGGCCGCCCAGCTAGACATGTGTAAGTGCCGCAGATGAAATGTAAGGTGCCAAGTGAAAAGTCTCGGGACTACCTTTTTTGGGAAATTGTACTCAAGCTGTGTCTGGCGCTGTATCAGGGCACTCGTATACCGGGAAATCCCCGGGAAGGGGGGGGGGGGGTCGTATTCGTTGATCGGTTCGAAAGTCGAATCTAGCTTTGAGGAAATTTCCTCCACTTGTTAACTTTCCAAGGTATTTCCCATTTCACATTTAGTATCCCCACCGTTCGACGGGTGAATTTCGGAGAGAAACTGGAAAACTTCTTTCCAAAAATTATCAAAAATAAAGGTGTGAAGTCGGGGACAGTCAGGCAAAAATTAGGCACGATGGGGAAGGAGTGTCGCACCAGGAAGGGGGGGGGGGAGGGGAGAATTTGGGGGGCCGTAGTTGCAAAGTTTTTCAGCGACAATACGTGTCCTGATTTCGGTACAGGGCGTATAGTTATGAGATCGCAATCAAGAGAAGTACAAATAAAAGGCAGGCTTACGGTGAGGATTGAAGACTCTAATTGAATAAAAACTCTCAACTTCCACATTTCACACACCTCACACTCTCCTCGGAATCCATCTTGTTTCGGTTTCAAGATCTTGTCACTGCCACGTTTCTTCAGGAGACCTGAATTCTATATATGCACAGGAGATGGTAAAATCGCGATCACTGAGCAATCAACGGACATTTGAAGGGAATGCAGCACCTGGGCAAACAAGCCAGGGTGTGGCAACAAGCAAAAGCTTGGTGGATAATGATTGCTCAGGGACGTGTGCGTACCTATTTCTCTTTTGCCATTCTTGATTACAGACGGGTGATGACCAGCAATCTGGTCAGCGAACCATTCGTAAGTGGCTGGCAGCTCCTGTTCCGGTACCTCCTCCATTCATCTGCAGACGCACTCCTGAATTATTCATACGGTCGGCGCGAAAGGAATTCCCCTTCTTCTCACAAGCATAAAGACATATTACCATGAACCGTCACTGAAACAACTTTGAGGACCACTGAAAATGAGAAAAGACACACCGCTTGTCAAAAAAGATTCTCTAGGAAGTATTCGCTGAATGACCTTTTTAATGGATAAAAGTGCTGCGGGCACCTAAATTCCAAAGACTACACTCTCTCGAACTTCTTCGATCTTCAGAGGAAAATCTCGGGATGTATATTTCTATAACAGAAAAAAGGTTGAAGACATCATGTCTCCTACAAAGCCTCGTCCGTGAAAAATTTTTCCAAAAAAATGGAAGCAGTATATTTTTCCATATAACTCTCCTTTTCTTCCAGGGAAATTTCTTGTGAAATAAATGTCTGCGGTGTACAAACAAATGGGCAAGTCCCCAGCAAAGTCTAATTTTCGAAAGTATAATCACAACCAAGGCACGTCCTGCCCCTGGGAAAAGTTCTATAAAATACGACTCCCTCATAATTTTCTTCGCTGGTACGACCGCACCTCTTCATCGTCCCCCATAATACCTACTATGTCCCTATAGTCCAAGTTCGCACCAATTTTCCAAAGAATTACTCTTCCCAAAATCCTAGCTCTTCCTCAAACTATCGTCGAGCCTGGGTGCAAAGCGCACTTGAAACAGGAAAAAACGAGAAAAATTCACAAAGACATATACGACTGCCTTCCCTCCTCCAGTGACCAAATGCGATCCCCATCACCCTATCTGGGGATCACAAACGTACAATGTGTCCTGATCGCAACATAGCAGAGACGTAGGTGGTGGAGGTAACGGTCCAGTACAGACTTCTGCTCACTCAAATGGCCCGACACACTCAAAAACCATAGAAATTGCATCTTTTGTTTCAATAGAACTTTATACAAGTACCAAGTACTTTATACAGTAATATTTTTCGATATCCGCCAGTTTCTATACTTGCTTTGATATGAGCGACCCTTGAAACCTGCTTCAAAATGCCATCGGATGCTTGGTTTTATATTAGAAGTTAAAATCTTCGTCATAGCAAAGCCCAAACACTTAAGAATCAACTGCTCAGCTCTGATTGATGAAAATTAGCCGACCAACTCAAAAAGATTCAGCTTTAAGGGTATACGGCCGGAACACCCAAATCGGAATGATGAGCGGAGGATGTCCCTGGAGGCTATAAGAGAAGCCAGAAAAAGTAACAGTCCTGCAGTGGGCTCATGACAGCACTGTCCGAAGAAGTGACGAACTTACTAAATGCAGTTGTTAATAAGCGATTTGCCCACCAATGGAGTCGTAGGACTCCCACCAAACATGAGATAAGGTTCGAACCAAGATGCTCATTATGGCCGTCTACTAGGAACCGAAATCACTTACACAGTATTCAGTCAAGACAGTAACCAAGGACTGATTGATGCGTTGAATGTCGTGAGATGGTTGTCATTTCAAGGTAGCCAGATGACTCTATAGATAAGGTTCGCAGTTCCTACTCTGCTCCACAAAATAGCCAACAAATCGCTGTTCATTCGATCACCAGCCTAATTCAATTTAATCCCTATACCATAATAGGCGCCACCCGACCAATCGCCCCTATTTGTATTAAAGCCTGAGATTACACAAGCACCTGCCGGATGTGCATAAACACGTTGTCGCCTATACACACACATGCTTTGTGTTAGGACTAATTCGAAAAACTACCGTAGTTGAGTAGTGGAATCACACCTGTCTTATGTGATTACGAACGTGAACGCTAAGAACAAAGATTTATATAATAAATAATATTGATGTATTTGTACAAGCTGGAAAACAGTATAACGGACATCTAGACAATCACATGCAATTGAAGTAGAAAGAGAAAAAGATCGAAAGAGAATGTGAACAACCAACAACAAAGGAGAAACGGGTGTGGTGACACTTTTACATTGATTGAATGGCAACGACATGACGCCTCGACTAGGTGATTACTCACAAGTGCACATGAAACGACTGCCATCATAGATTTGGGAAATATTGCCGGCCTGAGGGGCACACAATTGTCGGAACTTCTTCGAATTGGGTGGAGTCGTGCGCTGCGGCGAGATTCATGTACGTGTGATTCACCTGGAGATAGCACGATTTACGACTACCATGTACCTTGGCATTTATGTACTAAAATCGTCGTCAGCCACCCTAAACACCCACCTCATTGTCGTCCTGCTCACTCCAAATGCCTTGTTCTTCGTTCGAATCCGTCTGAACTGGAGAAGCAGAATAAGCCGAATCCGAGGCTTCTACTGGCGTTGAGGTGCGAATCTCCTTTCGTTTTACGCGACGCTTGCGACGACTGTGCATGTCTTCAATCACTGAAAACAATTTTATGTAATAACCACCACTTCTGAATCAATGAGAATACAAGTACGAGCACAGTCGAGGTGGTCCCATGATGTCATCATTGATTTACTTCACTGACAATCCGCGCTTTTTATTGAAAGAGAAACTAAGTACTGAGGATCCAAAGCAATTGTAGAATCACTGCAAGGCGCTGATGTAGCAGAGATCCACTGTCCACACATTAATAGCCGGGGAATGAAAGGCAAGCCAACATCCACGGAGAACGAAAACTCATTTTTGCATGAGTGGTTAGCTTTACCTACACTGGAGTGCTCATTAGTCATATTCAGTCCCACAATAGCCCTGTTAGTAAGTGATCGCCTTCGCTTCATCGCGACGAAAATCGAGGTAAGCCCTGCAGTACACCCGATTGACCGATACTTCTCTGGATAGTTTACTGCCCGGAGGAAATTGTGTCAGGATCATACAGATCTTGAGTGGATCGGCCCTAAATGTTTTCCGACTTTTCAGACTCTGAAGAAGACGAAAAAAACGGCAAAACATCGAATAAAGTTATAATAATCTTGGGAGGGTCAATGAAGGATAGCTGTACCGGTACCCCAAGATTACAAAAACTCGATCATGGATTGTATTACAATCGAGCATTTCTCAATATGGATCCTGCTGAATAGCGGGACCCTGTTACATCTGCGCCCAGCTGCAACCGTTCAAGACTCTCTCAACCCTTACCTTCGACTTTTCTCGGCAAGCATTCTGGAGGATCAATCGGACCATAATCAAGGCATTCCGATGATGAAGTGATCTGAATTCGCTCGCACTTTGGTTGACGTCGATGTTCTGTTTTTTCGATGACATGCTGGGTCCGTCTTTGAGTAGCCTGATACCTGGAAGACACCAATGGAACGGGGTCGAATAGATGGATGCGCAAGTCGGCAATTAAGCATGACGTTTCGCTCGATTACGCAATCGCACCACAATACTTCGCTCAATACGATTCTAATCGGTGTAGGATTTCAACAGCTAGAATTCGAAAACAGGAGAGCTTTGGTGGCTACTGTGCAAGGAGGCGTTCATAGCTTGTGATAGCGACGAAGTTCAGAAATGACGAATTCACGAGAAACATAGACATATCGATCTGGCGAAATGCAAAATCGACGAAAAATACACGATAGGCATCGATTTTTCCGCAATTCGTCAATTCTGCATTTCTCCAAATTGATATGTATCCGATGCTTTTCGCTACTTCGTCATTTCTGCATTTCGTTACTATCGCAAGCTATGAACGTGGGCCAACCGATGCGTCCGAATTTAACCCACAGAAGTAAGAGGGGGGGGGGCAGTGTTACAACTATCAGGATGTCTGTCCACAGAATGCAAGCGACTAATGGGTGTATTTATAAAAAGTTTCAAAACCCAGGGGAGCGTCTGTTGTTACAGGGTTGTTACCTCGGAGAGAAATCGCATCTTATCAGCTGATCGGTGTAAATAGAGATGAATGGGTACCATGGTAGTTTCACAACATCCATCATGGTATGTCCATTGGTAATTCTCAGTGGACATTCTGACAGGTTGTGACATTTGACTTGTGGTAATTAAGAGAGATCGATGCTACTCACTAAGGGCAAACGGGGACAATCAAAAACAATGGAGCATCATGAGTTGTGAAGCCCCCTGGTGCTTTTAATTAACTAACCAAACCACTTGTCAAACTTAACACCTGCTCGCCTAAAATGGTCTGCATACTTACCCACGGATACAACCGGACAGAAAGTGAGTGAGGGGTGGACGGATTGGAAGGAATTGATGAGCAGAGTGAGAATCGATGCCTTGGGGCGCCGCTATTCGAGTCTGGCGGCTAGATTGGCGCAAATCACTCACCTGCACGCAGTTGGTGCCAGCTGTTTCTGTTGGTCCCAATCGGGAACGAATTTCGTGGAAAAGGCGACCGTTTGGGGATGATTGGACTTGGCGGTTGTTGTTATGTGTGGTTTCTTGGAGAAGATACGGGTGATGAAGCCGAAACGATCCTTTTTCTCTGGTTCTTCATGAGCGATGATCGATGTTCCCGTCTGGCACTCCACTGCCACCTAAACAAGTACTTCGTTACAATCTGGGGCGCTGATATAGAGAGCT